GAAGAGCTTCAAGGACAACTACAACACCCTGGAGAGCACACTGTGACTGTGGGCGTGTGGGGTATAGTGCCACACGGTGGACACTTTCAGAACTGCAGCGAATGGAGAAACGAGGGGTGGAGGGTAGGGAGAGAGTGGGGTCTCGTGTCCCCTAACTGCACAGACTGGGGAAGCGAGAGGAAGGAGGGTAGGGTATAGTGCTACCTGGTGGAAACTTTCAGAACTACGGTGAGTGGGACATGAGGGGTGGAGGGGAGAGACTGTTTCAGACTCCAGTGCTGACTGGTAAGACAGAGTTTGCTGGCTGCTGTTCTGCGTGTGCTTGTGGATTCAATAGTTCTTGGGCACCCCTGACAAGACAGGAGCTAGCTGCCCCGACCAAAGGCGCTGTATCAGTGTAAAAATCGACCTTCTGGCCACCTGATCAGATCTGATGTGGGGTCAGTGTCTGTACAGATCTCTGTTGTGTTGGATAGAATACAGGACTCCCTACTCCTGGCAGTACCCCGACGCTGTGAAGTGAAGAGCTCGCAAACCTGTAAATAACATCTAAATTATGTAGTTAAAATAAGTTATTTTTTCTTCAGTTTTAAAACAGTTAATAAAGCCACAGTATTTCTAATGGTTTTTTTTTTTAAAGAGATAGCTGCATGACATCAGCGGTTTCTCTTTGTTTACTGCTTGTTAAACCGTGTTGTTCGGGATTGCGTAATAAAAGGGTGTTCTACATCCTTGTCCGTCTTCCTTCATGACACCCGGGCCTTAATGCGTTTTTCACACCAAACTGCACTTCCCGTCGACGGCCGCCAGAGGGAGCGCCACACTAAGACTTCAGCTTCTCGTTAGCGTTAGGATGAGGGGAGCTGCGGGGTTTGGTCCTGTATCAGGCAAAACTACACATTCTCTGCCCGTTACACACAGCACATACACAACACAGTTACACACACAGCACTACACTCACAGAGCATACACACAGCTCATACACAACATGTACACACGGGCACACAAACTCACACACATTCACGCCCACAGGAGGAGGGCTCAGGGCAGCGAGCGGGTTACAGCTGTGACGCCCCCTGCTGGGCAGCCGGTCAGCGGGCACAGCGGCGTCGGCCCCAGTCTCGGGGAGCGTCTCCGCTCTGCCCGAGCGTGTGCGTGCAGCAGGCTGAACCCCGAAGCGTCCCTGCGGCGCTCGTTGTGCGGTGAGGCCTGGGACAGGTCCGGGCAGAGTCGGCACCCGCGCTGACGGGCAGGGCTGACCGTGTGCTGTCTGT